TTTTGGGGTGCCTTGATAGTTGAAGCAGACCTTGTGCTGTTGAAGCTAGAGAGGTGAGCAATCTAAGTCTGATTCCCTGTAAAGACTTCTCTGTTGACACCCACCCCTGGGCGTTCATATGACCTTATGCAGTTGCAAGCGCCGTAAAACCCTCTACTATTAAACCCCCCCCCAAAAAACCAAACTCATTGTCATTTTTACCAAGGCCTGGCAAAAGTCCAAACTTACAGTCATGCAAGTATTTTCAGAAGTTGTTTGGTTTGACACTTTCATTTCATAGCCTTGAGGTTGTCAAGAGAATAGTATACTCTGTCAGGGCATTCTATCTTATGCATATTATATTTTTTTGTACTTTTCATTTTCAGTTTCTTGCAAGAGGTTTCTACTGCTGTCGGCTCTGGAGGGTCTGCTGGGCAGAACATGCGCATGGGTAGACAGTGAACATTGTCACCATTGGCTTACAGAGCTGCAGCTTCATCAGATCAAAATTGACAATGATAATTTCAGTAAAATGTGATATTAAGTCAGTTTTACATGTGCATAAGGTGGGACAGCATTGTCAAAATGATATATATCTATAAAGATAACTCTTGGTTATAGTTAAGAAGTATTGTTTTTGAGTTTGATTAGCGAAATACTGAAAGCACAAATGCTTAACTGTTTGTTTTACATCTGTTGTCAAGAATATTGAGAGTACTTTCCATAGGGTAAGACAAGATATGCTTTGCTCTTCCTCCATTTGCACAAAATTGACAATGTGCTTTCACCAGCATGCATTGCAAAATATAAATGCATATCATTGGACACAAGCTCACACACGCGTATGCATGAAATACACACACCCTCACACACATGCATGTACACACTCATTTGCACCCACAGGTTTTTACCTGGACTGAGATTATAATGGAGTTTTGCACTTATTTTGAGAATACTGCTACATCTGTCTCATATCATCAAGTATCCAACCTTTTCCTTCTAGTGTAGTGTAAGACAAAGCTCTTTCTTGGCAGATGAGGCCAATGGGTTTGCGACTGAAGTGTTCCATGTGTCCATAGCAGGAAGGATAATAAATGGTACAAGATCACCCCCTAGATGGAGTGTGGGTTGCATTTTTCTCAAGCAGACTAGAAAGAAGAAAAATGTTTTAAAATGTCTTTACCATGGACACAGTTTCAGAACTTGAACCACAATGAATAGTGCCCATGAACGTTTCGACCCTTGAAAGCAAAATTCAAGAAAATTTAGGAAACAAAACAAGAAGAATATTTAAAAGTAGTGATACTACAAATAACAAACAGCTGAAAAGTGTTATCTGTGATTAAAAAAAAAAAAGTAAAGATAATGGCTTTTAACGACTATTTGGTTGTCATCGATCGTTTTTGTTCATGAGTCCAGCAACTTAACCTTTGAGCCACTTTGTGTACATTGAAAACAATATAACTTTTTGCGAGTATCTGAGTCTCTGTCTACTGTCCACAGTGGTCATTCTCATTCTGTTGTTATTGCAGACCAGTGCAATTATATTGGGCATCTCTATGATTCTGTGACACATTAAATGGATCCACCTTCATTGTAACCTCTTTCTTCAAAAGTCATACCTTGAACTCGTATCTTGGAAAAGTATTTTTGTCTTGCACAGTGTTGGGGTAAGTTGTATGGATTATCAATATTTGCCTTTGAATGCATTTATTATGCAGTCTAGGATATAAAGTTATTTATTATCTTGATGTTCAAGTGATATACAGGTCTCCATCTTTGAAATATCCTGTTCCTTCATTATTGAAAAAGTAAAACAAACTTTTATAAAAATGTAGATCAGTATTTTAAACAATATATCCATTGCATTAGCGGTTATCATTGCAGGATGTTTTTCACTATCGGCGAAATATGTACTATAATGCAACCTGTGAGCTCAACATGTCAGAGACTGATTTTTGTTGAATTTGACCTGGATGAAGCCCACAGTAATTGGATGGCTTTTTGTTTTAGACAATTATACTAATAGTTTGTCATTCAGTATCTAATGATGACCAATCTACAGTATTTCCCTAAGGAAAACCGAAGACACAAGGTTTGAAATGATTTGCTTCTGCTACTTTTTTAGATAGGCCCATCAAGTTGGTGTCTGATGTTGCTTTAGAAGCAAAATGTCAAGTCACCATACAGGTTTGGTTACCCACGGACTGTAGGTTTCATTCTAGTCAATTTTAACTGGAAAAGTCCCTGTTTGAGTGGTCCCCAGTCCCCATCAGAGACACTAGTTCCTATCAAAAGGAGTGTGAGTCACAAGCAAAAGTGCTGCAAAACTATTTACAAAGACGCCATTCGCAATGGATCTATAGATATAGGGATGAAGAAGAAGTAGGGGCACTTTTTCTTTTAAATAAAAGTTTGGGTTTATGTTGTATGATGTGCAATATTTGTGATAGCAGATGGTGTAGATGAAATACACGGCCTGGACTGAGCTGAGGAGGGCTTTCTGAATGGGTTGGTAATATATTCTTTCTTGTGGTTTGCTCTGTTTGTTTCTGATATTATTGTTAGTATTGGTGTAATTTGTTTCCTTTTTAAAATATGGTTAAAATTACATAGACTGATGGTACACTACAAGTTGACCTCAGCGGTTTTCTGATTTCTTTACTCTTTGCATTATCGTCACTGACGAGTTTAAAAGAAAGCTTGTTAGGCTTGAGATATGTTTTTGCCTTCAGGTATTCCTCATTTGTGCCAAAGTGCCTGGCTCCATGCCCTGCTTGTGGGGGGCAGAATCGGTTGATCAGTTGTGCTTTTTCTGATTTTTTCACCATAGGTCCAAGGGGATATGGAATTGAGTGCACTGTCTCAGATGTAAAACTCTAAAGTCACATGTACATATAGCACATGTTAAAAGTCAAAGAAGAGCTGTCCTGCAGATGTACAAAATTATATTTTTTCAATCTATATTGAACCCTCAAGAAATTAAAACCCTCTTCTAGATAGTGTGTGGCCCTTTCAGAGTGAAGCCATTGGGTAAGCAGTTCTTTCCTGCACATGTGTCGTGCTGTTAGCCCCATAATATTATAGACGCCTGTTGTAAAGATTTTAGCAAGAGTGACATCTTGATTTTGAGCTTTCTCTGGGGCATGTTCAAAGCACTTTTCTAAAAAAGATGTCCTTTTCTAAATTGTTGTTTCCCATAATGTGACTGCTTTTTGGCTTTCTGGAATGTAAGGGGCAGAACATTGACTTGATGTGGTAATTGCGTGTGATATAAGTAAAAATATCTGTTACTCTGTGGTGTGAGGAACTTGCAGCTGGCTACCCCATGGTTCATCTGGGTTTTGCGTTTAGGAGAAAAGTAAACAAAGCATTAAGAGGAACCCTGAAATATCGGGACCACTTCTCTTGTTATAGCTTATTCCCGAAGTGCAAACTGACTAAACAGGAAAACTGAGAACTGATAGCTTTTGGAAAATCTACATAGAATTATAGTCTTATTTAAAGTGATTACAAAGGATGCAAAGTCATGACTGAACCAAAATAAGTTATGCATTTTTGTGAAATGCAATATGAGACAGCTAGGGATTCATGTCACTGAAATGCTCAAAAGTTGTTGTGGTAGATGGGAGGGTTACCCACTTAGTATTTAGGAAATAAAGTTGCTCAATCTGTTTTCCTGTCTACGCTTTTGTGTTTGTGCAGATTTCCTAGCACCATGGCAAAAATCGTTTGAATATAAGTTCTCAGAAAGGCGTCAGTGTGTTCTGAGGTAGCTCTAGATGGGTTTTTGCTGTTGGAGTCGACACTTAGTAGTTGTGGTACCTGTAGGTATCATAGAATTCTCCTGGCCATAGTTCAAATACCCATCTGCTTCACATGTACAGTTTATGTTGTCTGCAAATGTTTCAATCCTTTAGTACTCTTTGAATCCAAATGAGATGTGTAAAAATAATTGAACGGATGTTTGTATTTATAATGTATGTGGCTGTTAAGTACAGTGGAAACCTTAACATACTGGTACTTTTAAAAAATAAGTCATGTGAGGTGAATTTGGATGTAGCTTGATAAGTGTAGATTGTGCTGTGTACATGGAACTTTTCTAACATATGTGTAATCTACTTTACTTGTATATGTACAGAATGTCTTGATTTTAACTTTGTCTTTTTCTCTTTTGGAGCATGCAAATATAGATAACCTGTCTAGTCTGCTTGCCTAGTCAGGAAAAGAGGAGAGGGCATTTCCAGTATCAGGAGTGTCAGTCTTGCTTGAAAATGCACGGCAGCTACTCTCAGCAAACTGATGACTCATTCAGTTAAGCATTATATGAGACTACTGTGCAGATGACTCTGGCTCCAACCTTTAAAGAAGCCTTTATGAACTGGGAATTTACAGCATTTTCAAGGCTGTCCACTCATTTGGCTTTACCCTAATGAAGATGGGCTGTAAATTTGGAGGCCCCACTTCTTAATTCTGAAACCCACACCTTTAACTTTCTCGCCTCAGTTTGAACTGTTCAATATTTGGGTTGGGTGTGCCTGTTGTATATTGAAAATGTCCTCTTTAAGAGCTGATGTTTCCAATGATTTAAAAACTATGTTGAAAAAATCCTAGAACTCAATTTCCCAAGGGTTTTCTATTTCTGAGATATCTTTTCTCATCGCACTCAGTAGTAGCCTTTTACATTTGTGAAGCAAAGCTTTGTGCATCAAGAGGATAAACATTACATGTTACTGGAGTTTTGTCATGTTTTTTTTAAATTTTTTTTTTTTTACGGAAACACAACCCTCAGTTCTTGTTATCTTTTTGTACACTGTAAAAAAGATTTTCTGTTTTGCACCCCTTGAAAAAAAAACTTGATTCTTTCCAAGTTTCTTCCGTCTGTCCAAAGGCTTCCCCAATGATAATTGCTTAAACGACTTGTACCGGAATGTGGGTGTCCATTTTTTATTGTAAGCTTTCCAACTTGTAACTGTTGAGAAATTGCACGCTATTTATTTATGGTGCTGGTGCACTTTCATTTCCTTACCTGGTATGTGTTCTTGTTTTGCTTTTTTTGTATGTTTGTTTTTGCAAATGCAGTCCTCTTTGTCCCCCAAAAGGTGTAGTTTTTATTTCATAAATACACACCTGATCATAAGATGACTGAGCAGCAAGACAAGAAAAATGTTTGTTTTCTAGTCTCATGATTTAAACATGTTGTTCACATTCCAATGTCCATATACCCTATCCCTGAAGCTCTCACCTGCCATTACCCTTGATAATCTTGGTTATAGATACATTCTATGTTCACCTTTATAGGTGTGACCAATTTTCTGTGGAAAAGTTCTTTGTTAGCAAATTTAATTCAGCAAATCTTTTCCAGCATTTTCTGAAACGCTTTTATGTGTCTTGTTGTTTTCCATGTCTGTTTCCAAAAGAACTACCAGTGGTTTATCTTTGTCAGTTTATTTGATTCTTGGTGCAAAGGGTGGAGTATCTGAATGGTGTTTGCTGATATCTAGATTAGAATCATGTGCTCAAGTTTGTGACTGTTGCATAGGTTCTTTCTGTTATTTTTTTCGATTCTGAAGAAATCAGGAGATTCTACTCTTGTCTTATTTTTTATAATGGTTAATGGCTTAAGTATTTTATTTTTTGTTTTAGAAGCTGAATGCTGTGCCTGTTGTATTATGATTGGAAGTGGGAGTTTTGCAGTACATCAAGGTACTATTATTTAAAAGAAGTGAGTTTTTGTCTATGGCCAGTAGTTTTTATAATTGTCTCTCTAAAATATTTCATACTTTTAAAATCATGACTTTTATATCATACTGTTGTGGGTATGCTTTTGCAACATTTTGTTTTCCATCCGCTGTTTTTGTTTTTTAAAAGCAAAAGGTTTAAATGAAGGGAACAAGCTATATTCATTTCTTCATGACCCTTAGTTTAATAGCACAGTGGGCTGCTCTTTAGAAGGTGTAGAGGTATTACTATAATCTGTTGAAGAGGTTTCAGCTGTTACTGCTTTCTAGGAGTCAAATTGTTACTTCTCGAGAAGCGCTGCATGTTTTACTCTAATGTATTACATTTGCTGTGGGAGGGAACTAATTTTCTGCAGTTCAGTTCCTTAAAAGAGAAATTAATTTCTTAATTCATGTATAAGTATACTCTTTAGATTTATTTGCCAAAGAGCCTTATGTTCTTCATTACAACAGTTTCAAGCAATTTGTTGGTCTTCTGTTGTACTGGTGTAATTTTGTCATGTTGTCATGAATCAGTACAATTTAACCTACTCTGTGATCACATGATTGATGAGGCCTACTCACTACTCTGTAGCTAGGGCTGGCACTTTCCAGAAATGGTGATGATTATGGAAATATAGAAATTCCACTTTGTTACTTTTTCTGTAATACTTGTTCCGCCATTTTGCTTTTTATGTCTCTACTTTGTTTACATTCAATAAGATGCTTGAAGTACAGTTACATATACATCTCACTAATGCTCTTAGATTTTTATGTATAAGACAAGTGTGTGGGTAAAAAACAGGTTGAGTGGATGAATGAGAATTTATGTTTTTTGCTGTTTGTACCAGGCAGCCAGATGAATAACGTGCAAGTTATTGGTGCATTGCCTTGCAAACTGTTATAATGGTATGTGTTACATACCATGTCATCTGGGCACAATGTTAGCTCAACTGGTATCATGCTGACCCTTGCTGGTATTCCTCGTGGTACAGTTTGATCCGTGGGTTGTTTGTGGAGTTTTCATGGCTCTCTTCTCCCTTGGCTTTGTCCTTTTGCAGATGGACCTTAGATTGGAGGTTGCAGATTTTAAGTTACCTTACAGGGATAAAAAAACTGCATATCTAAGATATAATGGTCATGCAGTAGAGTGTGATTCCATTTTGGGGGGAGGGTGTAAATCGAGTGTTTCCTTCTGCCTGCAGGGACATTGTATCTCAGCCCAAGTTGGCTCTGACAGGCAGAGTTGAAATAGATCGCCTCCAAAACGAGCTTACGGGGGGTGTGTAGCATCTGCAGCAATGAATAAAAAGGGCTAAATAAGAGTCAAACTCTTAGGCTAACATACCTATGTGGTTTGCTCGTACTGGTACAGTAGTTTTATAAGTACACAGTATTGCCTGTCACCGATAAAATGGGGCAATTACTGTGCCATCTCTCTTTAAGTTCCGCCTCAGCTCAATAGAGCATCAAAGTCAAAGCATGAGACAATTAAATAATTGGTACATTTATGTATTAGACCTAATTTCTTGTGTAAAGTTTGGTGTCGTTGGAGTCGAAGTCAAAGTTCATGTAGTTTCACTTTTTTAATGCATCTAATGTGAAATTGTTTTATCTGAAGTTTTTTGTTTTTGTTTCATGCTAATGAAAATAAACCAAATTATATATCATGGTCTACACTAACTGAAGCATTTTCTTTGATGTATTATTTTATTTATGATATTGAATTGTGCATCAGCAATGATAATTTCTGTTGTAATTTCCTGTGCTTATAATAATTGTCAGATCACATATAGGCGTAAGTGTGTTAACTTGTGAAATAACATTCACCGGCGGTTTTTTGGGGGAGAAAAGTGGCCAAAGAGAGGAAAAAATATTTTACTGATTATTTTAAGAAACTTTTCGCATAAGAAGTAATCAAGAAGTCTTTTACCCTGACCATGAAAGAAGCAAGCTAGAAAGTTAAAATTTGACACTCACACTTCTCTACAGAGTCCTTTTTACCATCTTTTTTTGACCTTCAAAAGTCCCTGAGCATAATATTACCTCAAGTGGGACTGAAACCATTCCTGCACTGCAGATATATGGTAATGCCACTTTTTAAAAAAGAGGTCACGGTAATGTTCCGTTCCTGGACGTCACGGTAATGTCATGTTCTTCTTGGGGATCATGCCGTAATGCCATGCCACTTTGTGAGACTGAGAGATCACGATAATGCCACACTCTTCTAGGAGATCATGGTAAAGTAATGTTCTTGGATATCACGGTAATGCTACGTTCTAAGTTTTATCAGATCACAGTGGTGTCACGTTCTGATTTCTATCAGGTCACAGTGGTGTCACGTTCTGATTTCTATCAGATCACAGTGTTGTCACGTTCCGATTTATATCAGGTCACAGTGGTGTCACGTTCTGATTTCTATCAGATCACAGTGTTGTCACGTTCCGATTTATATCAGGTCACAGTGGTGTCACGTTCTGATTTCTATCAGATCACAGT